TCACCCACCTTGACTCTCTGTTACACAGATGTAACTGACTGGAACTTAGCAAACAAGTCTGCTGATGATGCACAAGAAGGAATAGAATCTAACTCGCTCTCCCCCACAGCTGCATAGTTTACAGGAGGAAAAAGCAGCGAAAACATACTTGTATTGCTAAAGAAAGCAGTTATAACTCTGGGCTTATCTTCACTACCAGGGAGATCGACACAACTGCAATTAATTCAGCAGGTGTCGATAGCAGAGTGCTCTCTGATCGACTCTGGTACCCCACCGGAACGGGAAGAGCAAGGTAAGTCGATGGGAGAGCATCTCCCGTCAACGCAGCACAGTGAAGAAACCGCGGTAAGTCGACCAAAGCTACATCGAACCCAGTTACATTATTCACGTAGCTGGAGTAGCGTAACTTAAGGTTGACTTACCCCGCTAGCGTAGACCAGGCCTCAGAATACACCCAACGGACAGAACAGGTGAATGAAATGTCATTCTTCCAGTCATTTTTCAGAACAGAACCGCACTTAAAAGTATTTTATTAATTTCTCAAGCGAAAAGGTATTAAATGGCACTGGGCAAATATAAAATTATTAAGTTATTGCTGTTAAATTTTACCCTACTTCTGTGGTCCTGTCTTCTGTGACATTGAAAAAGGCAATTTAACAAGATTAATACAATTAAGGACAATACAGTACCACCAGGTTTGTTAGTTTCAAGAACTTTCTGAATGGCCTTACCAGTTTTGTACCCTCTTCACTATAGCTGTCAATTAAGGGTTTCCGATCCAAAAGCTGAAAGATTCGTTGGGCGGAAACTTTAGCTTTGCCAAAATCTGGTTCCAAAGAAGAGGACAGACCAACATTTATAAGACCATATAGAACTGAAAAAAAGGCTCTGAAAACCAAACACAAAACATCTTTCAGTTCATCTAAAGAGAGACTTTTTTATTATTGTTCATAAATTACAAACATTGTTTTCCTTATTTAAAACAAACAGACTTAACTCTATCTATAAATCTGAGAATTGTGACATTTTTAGAACTTTATGGTATAGAAAAATTACACACAAAAGATTAGAAACAGAGGTTTACAGCTACAAATATTTTTATGGGTGACTAATGGTACATAATTTCTCCATGCAGAAGCATTTCACAAAGCCTGTTGTCTGCAATGAAGTGTCAACAATAAAAGTTTCTCCATAGTAAATAAACTAAGCCAGGCTCTATACATGCCAATACAACTGTTTCAAACTTCCTCTCCCAGAAATAACCCTTCTGCCTGAATTGAACTCCTGACCAGATTCTAAACTGTTGGACCTCTTGCACTATTGCCCCAGTAACTAGACTGATACACAATTATCATGTGTTGAAATCACTGCCTTTGGACTGATGTGTACTCACATAAATACGTTTTCAAAGTTTGTATAACAATTAGCAATGAGCCATGCCCCGAGTCTGAAGATTGCTGCCTCAAGAAAGTAGATTGCACATTGGACTGTTCCATAGTTAAGTCCATATAGGGGGGCTTTTGTTAGAGAGTCCCTGATAAAAGAAAAGATTTATGTTAAAGGAAAAAATTGTCATGAAATGCCAAGAGCAGAGACTCGCCGGGAGAAGGTCAGACCTTTGGATTAGGGGTGGCAAACCCTATACCTCACTCACTCAAATAATAAATAATAATAATTAATAAAGCTGCACGCTAGGGGCTCCATGAAGGTGCCTCTGGAGAGAACTTATGGCAAATGAGATCTCTTCATCCCAACTAGCTGTTTATTGGATAGGACCTTATGATAAAATTACCTTTAGTAGTCAAAACATTTTAACACTTGAATGCTGGTTTCCAGAATAAATGTTTATGGATGGCCAAAGCAATCTGACACAAAGCAAATTAATAATTTCGATAAGTCTCTTATGATCTTTGAATGCTTGAATTTTTGGACAATTTGGATAAATGTAGTGGTCACCATAGAAAAGTCAATGTCTACAACACAGCAAAACTGAAGCACTACGGATATTGCCTGTTCTGTGTACAGGAGGGGGAAAAGTAGCAACTCAGACCCACTGTACAGTGGTGACTTTTAAATGGTGACCAATGTTGTTGTGTGGGATGGTAAACTGGATCACCTCAATTATGTGCAGACATTGCTGTGACAAAGAAACTGGTTCTAGTTCTGACAAAATGATTTTTCAACAGAAAATGAAATGTCTGCACATTTGAAATTTTCCATTGGGAAAAAAGTAAAAAAATATTTTATTCGGGGTTGGTTTGACCTGAATTGAAATATTTCTGCTTTGCACCCATAGCCATGTGACTCCGATAATGCATTATGCCACTCAGGCAGAGGGGAGACCACACTGCATCATGGGAGATGTAGTCCAACCAGGGAGCCTGGCCCATAAGATAGGCAATGTTCCAAAACAGGGAAATGCAGTTTGATGTTGAACTAGATAGAAACAAAAACTGTCAGATCAGTTAAACAGAAGAAAAATTAAATATTTCAGTTATTTGGGAATATAAAAATATTTTGTTTGGAGAAAAAATGCAAAAATGGAATGATTTGCCATTTCTAAATTGAATTTTTTGTAAAAAAAAACTTTTTTCCACGAAAAAATGTGATATATTTTCACATTTTGTCCCACTACAGAGCAAAACAGAGGTTGAAATATTAGAATTTCCCACAGGACAGAAATTCAGATTTTCACTCATCTCTAGTGCTCATATATTTTTTAAATGTTTTCCAAAATAGTTTCTCTATAAATCATAATATTGTGATACAATGACCTGCCAGGACTAGAGACAAGTGCTAAGGCTGAGAATCCCATTTCTCCAACTAAATATAGATTTTTTTTCTCATAATGATGGTTTATAGAATACTGAGTCATAAAACTGTAGTTGACAGAGGACTATCATGCTCAATCCCTGCTTTTACTTAAAGCATATTTAAGGGGAAAGAAACAAAATGGATGGTAAATCATTTCATTTAAATCAAATGGAGACTAGGAAAATGCCTGACATATTTGGATATTAGAAATTAGCCCCTGCAGTGGTTAGCCTGTCAAGTGTGACTGAAAAGGCCAAAGGGGGAAAAGAAATGCACCTTATTTCAAGACCGGAAAGTCCTTACTTGTAGTACAAGTCATAATACATGGTAATGCTATGTAGTATAAAGCCTTTGCCACTTGACCTATGAAACTCATTCTGCTCCAGTACTTGTGAAGCAAATAAACATCCCATATTCATGTTAATAAAAACTTTATACCAGGTCATTACATTCTCTCTCACACACAAATATTACATCACACACAATAGCATCTAAGAACATATTTTAAAGAAACTGAGTAAATACATTTTACTCTGCCAAAATCTTTTCAAATCATTTATGTGTTTAATATTTTCAGTCTGCAAATGAATGTAATATGAATAAATCTTGAGTAGTTTTAAATTAAGAAAATATGTATTCATTGTTTTAAAAAACAGAATTATTTGAGAGCAAATCCTACCTGTATGGACCATTCAAACTTGCATTATATCTCTCATAGAATGCATCTTCACTAGTTAATGAAGCCACAGTTCTTATATTTTCAACCGCTTCCATTGAAATCTAAATCGGGAGACAAGACGGATATAAAGTATTCTCTTATGCTTGAGTCTGCTCCTACCACTACGTAGTTAGCACATCTATAGCACTTTTCATCTTTAGCTCTCCAAGTGTTTTTCTTTTTAAAAAAATGAGATTAAGTATCATTATCAGGGAAACTGAGGCACAACAATTCAATTATTTACCTAAGGTCACACAGTGGTCTTTCTACTAAGCCAACGTGGCTGCTATGTGATTCCTATGTACTCCTCCCCCCACCTGTCCATTTTGTTTCACAGTAGCATTAGCTGGCACTATAGAAGCCATTAAAAGGTAAGAAGTTGCTCCTTACTCCGAGTACACACATCCCAGGAAGCAGCTCACTGGAGGGCCGCATGCTACCTTGGTTATTCATCCGTCGGGGCAAATTAAGCTGGGGGAGCCCC